TTGCGGTCATTTTTATAATACATTTAAGTAACTTTCAAAATCCCGGTACGCCACTGGCATCCTGGTATATCATTCTGATCCACCGGACGTATTCTTCTGGTACCTCGTGCTTCAACAATGCCCACCATATTATGTAATGCGGTACTTTATCAGATGCCTTCTCCAGATTCAGGAATGCGGAGTGGAGCTCACATTTTTTTCTCTGCATTCCACATTCAATCTGACGGTGTGAAAGTCATCTGTTGTACTGTATTCCTTCACGTCCGCATTGGTTGAGGGTCGTTCTCCGATACTTCGGAGTCGCGTCTAATTGTATTCTTTCAAGAATCTTTAGCGTGTGGCAGATGAGAAAGATTGGTCGATAGGTGGAGCATTCAGCTACGTCGCCTTTATTTTTCCACATGGTACCGTTACGCCTTCTGTGTCTGCCATCTGGGATATTCTTGGATTCTACCATCTTCAGAAGACGTGTTAGCCCCGAAACTTCAGCCTGCCACACTTCAAGAACTCGCTGGGGATGTCGTCTGGACCCGTCGCCTTACCAATCTTCATCTTCATTACAATGATACGAACATCTTCTTCAGTGATCCTAATCCGTTTACCGGTTCAGCTGTTACGGTGAGCGCATATTCGTTGTTCGCTGACGCCCCTCTGCGAAGTGCCTCTCCATCGTTCATTAATCTCTTGCAATTTGCTTAGAATTCTTCCATGCGCATCTTTGATGTTGCAGTAGTGTTTAAGGTCTTTTGCGGAGCTTGCTCTACCCTTAATAAATCGTAGACTTCTTGCTCACTTTTGCGACTACTTTCGAATAATTCTGACACTGCGCTTCTTTCGCTTCTCTGGCTTTTCTCTTAGCTTCACGTTCCGCATCTAGATACTTTTGGTGTGAATCTTCTGTCCTTTTTTCTGCCCTTCTCTGTATACTGCCTTCTGTGCTCTTTATCACTATCTGCGCTCCATCATCCCACCATCAGGTTTAATTTTCAAGCTTCCTTTTCCTGGCTTCGTGCTCCCAGGTAGATCGTCAGCTATTTGATAAATGCTATTGCTCAGAATCGTCCAAGAGTTGTTTGGATTACCCTCCAATTTTGGCAAGGCAGATTACATTTGCCCATTTGTGCGGGCGTCATTCTTGAGTTTTCATTATTTGATGTGTACTTCAGATTTTGTCATAGCCCTCCTTCTCCTGTTGATTGGTGTGTGTTTGTATCAGCAACCGATGTTACGGTACGCAGTCTTCACCTGGGATGACTTTGCCGTCCTTACGTACTTGAGCTCGTTGTAGCGTCCATTCCATAAGTCTTTCTGCGACTTGCGGCCTCCACTGACAAGGCGGTAGGTCTTCGTTGAGGTATGTATTTGATAAGGGTAATTCATGAGCTGGTGCAAATTCTAGAATACACTCCCCTTCGTCGCGTGTCATATCCGTGGTTGCCATGACACTGTTGTGAACGATTTCGGTGTTCCCTTTCATGTCCATTGAGTTCTGCACCGACTAGTAGCATTTTTTGTGCAATAGAGCTGACATAGTCATCGAGCTTTTCCAAAGTTGCTCCTTCTCGTTTCTTCGCAGCCTGCTTGGGTGCATAGGCCACTATTCAAAGTGCTCTTTTACCAGTACCCAATCTTATGTTTATAAGATGATCACTCATTTGATTTACCACAATGACTCTATCCCTGACTCTATCCCTCAACTATGCCGACGCCGTTTCTTCCGTTGCTCGTTCCTTCATACAAAAGCTTGCAATCGTCTCCAATCTCGCGTGCGCTTTCACCTTTCCATACGGTCTTTTAAATACCAACAACGTCAACTCTACGTCTTCTGAAAGATCCGCCAGTTTGCGAAGACGAGTTAGGATCCTACATTGATGCTCTGGCTAGACGCAATGCTAAGAACTTGAAACTTTTCTTATGGTGAGCTAGCTCCTTTAGCCGTCCCCAATCACGTTAGTTGAACACACTCGAGCTCGACGAATGTAGCCTACTGTCTACATTCGTCGGGCTCGAGTGATGTCGCCTCCAAACCGGGAACGCCCTAGCCTTTACACAGAATTTGGTTGAGACATAAAAGAGCATTTATATGCAATGGGTGTCTCCTTCAGATGACAACACGTTGCAATTGCGAGGAGTTATGAGCGTTTGTCAAAGGAAAAATTTCCTCTGTATGAAATGATTTGCTAGGACTTTAATAGCCTTCAAATAAAACACAAGTGTGATATAATTTTATAACAAAGTATTTATTGTATAAAAGCGTCCTGATTCATCGCTGCTCCATCAAGCATTGAAGAATAATATTACAACTGTTTTTATGCTACTTGCACATTTATTACAGCTGCAATGAACGCTCAGAACTCCTCGCCCAGTAATGTTCCGCAGATTAGGAAAGCAGATTTAAAGTCGGCGTGTTATGCCCTCCATTATACAGGGTGCGGCAAAAGTCTGGGAGCCTAGTACTTTTTCGTACAAAACGAGAAGGGAAGTACCTAGAAACGAAAAATTTGGCGCACACATAATTCGAACCATTGCAGATACAGCCCAGTTCTTGAATTGCAAAACTGCCTCTTTTGGCTTCCACCAGGCCTACAAAATCTTGGCAAGTTCACCTATCATGGCACGCAGGTAGTCGTAATGGAATTCGCCCCACGCCTTCACACTGCTTCTTTTACCTTGGCAAATGCGCAGCATGATAGAGCAAACTTTTGTCTACAACATACTTCCAAAAGAATTTTTTGCATTGCTCAGGAATAAAAATATTGGATTTTCAATTAGAAGCATGTGTACGTCGCATAATGGAATTTTGGCTACAATTGTGCGAATAAAAACTTAAAAATATCGTTTAAAAAGTACAAAAAGTGTTCCCATGACCGTATTTCAATAGATTCTAATTTAAAAGACGTATGCAAAAAAATACGCCTTGGTCTCAGTAACTGTTGAGCATTCTATAGCTTTTAAACTTGTTCTGAAGACGGATTTCCACTGGCCCGTAGGTAACATTCGCAAACTTTTATTTTCCGTTCATGCAAGAACAGCTCCTGGCAAAAGCAAAACTAGGGTACAATAGCGCAAAGCTTCTTCTATGTTGTGTGCATCGAAGTTTTGTAAAATATTAACAGCATCTTTAGCTACAGCAAAAATTGGAAATACCAAAAATTCTGATTTTTTCGCTTTGCAAATTTACTAGTTTGGTAATTTCCATTTTTACAGAAACATATGGCAGCCATTTCCAGCCAAATAAAGTTTATTCTGTAGAGGATTACCGCAGATCATGTGGCATAAAATTGAAATCAAAACCATCAGTTTTTTCGTAATTGCAGTACTGCAAAGTTAGGCTCCCAGACTTTTGCCGCACTCTGTAGTATACGTCCCATGTAAGAAGGCCACTTCGACTAAACAAGCTCGTGAGGAATGGCAAGAGGTTGCCACTGGCATGGACTTTCCTATTCTACCATCTGAGCAGTGCGCGTAGAAAACAAGCGTTTGTATCCTATAGGAAACTTCTTTGCTTTACGGTAAATTATTGAGTGAATCTTGTTCCAGTTCTGACTCTAATCTTTTTTTCTACACATGTTGCATGGCGCATCCCCAGAACTTTTCCCATATGAACCATCAACGTAGGTGTTTTTCAATCATAAACGCCTTGAATTTGCCGGAGTTAATGTGTAAAACGATCGAAGAGCAGTCACGTTGTTGCTTCATATGGAAACAAATCCTGATCCATCTATTGTAATGAGCAAAAGTTTGAAAACACGTTAAACCAACTTTCTGTTGAAGCTGGTTTAACAAACTGACTTTCAGTGCTTTCAGAATCAGAAAATACGTTGATTATTTCTTCTTAAATATACAACAGGTTTTAAGTGTTGCATGCGTTTATACCCTGTAACAAAGCTGTACTAAAAAAGACTTGAGAATCAAAGAATACCGATGGTAAAAAGACAACTTTGTGATCGGGTTCCAGCTGGTGCAAAATTCAAATTTTTGAGTACTCCTTTCGAAATCAAGGAGGGAAGCTGTTTTGAAAAACGATTCTAATCTTGCATGTGTGCAACAGAGAAAAATTTAAACGGGTTCATCGAAGGAATCTACGATGTCATTTAAAGTGAATTTATAATAGTGTCCAGCACTGTACATACCCCGCTATGGTTGAACTACGTTAAGCGAACAAATGCTCACACAACATCCACTGAGCAAGTCTAACAAGGGAACGATACTCAGTGTCCGTGGCCTTTTGAGATGAAATGTATACCAGTACACTCGCCTTCGAACGCTGATTCCAAATCTGTTTTCCGTTTCTGCTGAGCGTTTCTCTGAAAGAAGTTATGAAGGGAACATGTTAACATGCATTCATTTTCCGTTCATTTTCATTTTTACAGGCACCTCTTGGAATAAATATAAGAAACACTCGTATAAAAATGAATCCTCGTTGAATTTTCAACGAGTAAGTACATGCATTTACCACGAGGAAATCTGACTCTCAAAAAGAAGCTTAATTGAGGCAATGCGAAACTGAGAAATACAAAAGAATCTGAACCTACACCTGCATCGGCTTGTGAGGCTAATGCACTAGCCACTACACCACAACTACGGGCGGCATTGGTGTTCCTATCTATCTCTGGAGGCCAAACTTGGCGCGAAAATCCTTCATAACTTCTTTCAGAGAAATGCTCAGCAGAAACGGAAACCAGATTTGGAATCAGCGTTCGAAGGCGAGTGTATATTGGTATACATTTCATCTCAAAAGGCCACGGAAACTAAGTATCGTTTCCTTGTAAGTACAAGACAATGTTGGAAAAGCAAAGATATTACGTTTTTCGCCAAATTTGAAGGAACAAAAAAGTTATTCACAAAGGACTTTGATGGCCGCAGTGACGAATTTTAAAGAGATAAAAAGGCGCTCGTTTTGCTGGGGTTTGAATGACGCACAGCTGCTGTTGAGTGGTGCAGCGTAGAACAAAGACATTTGCTCAGAAATCTTCATTTAAACTGCCATCGAAATAATCGAGCGTCTTGGTATCAAACAACAGAATTGCAAAGCTTCTTCATGATTTCCGAAGCAAAACTGAACCTCTGAAATAGAACTGTTACAAACATTGTAAATTTACCTAATCCATGTTACAACCTAAGCAAGCACAGATTTGCAAACATGCAGTAAGGCAATAGGCTCGACAAAATGACAACTTTGAGATGCTCATTGTTCTTTACTCACTGGATGAGCTGCGTTAGAACTACGCTTCGCAGTTTTGAGGATATTAGCAACTCGCTTTTTGGACGTGGGAAGTGCTATTTGAGCGAACGAAGAAAGCGCGCCCTTTTGTAAAACAATTGGCCGCTGGAGCCCATTATCGAATTGTCATCGAAATGGGTGTGGTGTCCCCGCTCTCCGCAAGCCAATCATTTTCTAAAGAGCAGGCTTTTCTCCCGCCTAAACAGCACAGTACTTCTGTAGCGGAGCTTGCTTTTTTCTTGACAAACCAGTAGACTCGTTTATCTTTATCTTTATCTTTATCTATTACACTCGAGGTGCACCCAAGAAAATAGTGAGTGAACACATAGACCAACCAAGTCCCACAACAAAAAGGAAGTAATAAATAAGAATATCATTGTCACATTCAAAAACCCCAAATCCATTCGACGGTATGAAACGGCACTTGTCTGTACTACATAAGGGCAATATATGTATTACGAACGTTATCAAAGCTCTGATCAGGAGCATTCTTTGAGAAATTACATGTAAGCTCAAAATAACGGGGTATGATGTGATACGACCCATCGCTCTCGAGTGGTACGCTTTGGCGGATAGTACTTAGGCAGTATGGCAAACCCATGCGTACCTAGGATTCCTAGTTCACCATCGCGAGTACTCTCGTATAATTCTAACCCATACACTTCTTTCGCTTCTCTGACTTTTTTCTTGCCTTCACGTTCCGCTTCTAATTCTACATGCATCTTCTATCTTTGTCTTCTGCCGTGCTCTGTATGCCGCCTGCTTTGCTTTTTGTCACTATCTGCACTTCATCACTCCACCACCAGGTTTCCTTGTCGAGCTTCTTTGTTTCTGGCTTCGTACTCCCAAGTAGATCGTTAGCTATATCTTATATATATAGCTGAATGTCTGTCTGTACGTCTGTATGTATGTCTGTATGTATGTACGTATGTTCCGAATAGAAATTTTTATTTCTGAACCGATCCGGACCAAACTTGGCCCACATACACTTCGGGCCCCGGCAGGTGTCATAGCTACTTTTCGCCATCGATCGATATCGATTTTATCGATTTTTATCGATTTCTTTGCAGAGTTCACCTGCGGGGCTGGAGGTTTGCACAATGGGGTGATCGAGCATGCTGATTACGATTACAATATTAGTTTTTGAAATCGTCCATTATTTTTATCGATTTTATCGATTTTTTTTGTAAAGTTTGAGCTACGGGGCTGGGAGTTTGCATATGGGGATAATCGAGCATGGAGATTCCGAATACAATATTAGTTTTCAGGATTATCGATTACTTTTACCGATTTTATCGATTTTTTGTAAAGTTTGACCTATGGGGCTGGGAGTTTGCACAGTGGGGTAATCGAGCATGCTGATTACGAGTTCGATATTAGTTTGGCGCTATTCGGCTATCCGGGCCCCAAAATTTTTTTGTGGTAGAGCTTGCTCAAATTTCGTATATAAGGGTTATCTTGAGGGCCGGACATACTTCAAGCAGATTCAGTCGCGACGTGATCTGGCAATATTTCAGGCGTCCATGACTCATCGTAAGCACATTATAAATGTACGGAAAATAGGGCATTTCATCAGTTTACATATGTTATGCACACTATGCATGTGTAGTTTGCTAATGTTGGATCCGAAGACTTCTGGCGAATTGCCAAATCGCGTCGCGCCTGAAATCGTGTGAAGTATGCCCGGCCCTTTACATGCTGATTACAGATATCACACTTTCTCCGCAGAACGTCTGTGTGGTTACGATTGGTGTACGGTAGGAAGTCAAAATCATGAATTCGGCTGGAGTTCGGTCCATATGGCTTATTCGACATGCTAATTACGAATATCATCTCTCTCTGCATATTGGGACCTTTTCATAGAGTTGTGGTGGTTATATGGCATGGGGTCGAAAACATAGATTTGCTTTAAACTTCGCCTAGGGTGGTCATTTAGCGCGCTGAACATGAATATCATGTTGATTTCGCAGAATAGTGCATTTTCTTAGGTTACGGTGGGTGTAGATGGGTCGAAGTTCCAGATTTGCTCAAAACCTTACCTGTAACGGTTCACTTATCGGTATCGCTTACTGGTATCGCTTATGAATATGATGCTTGCTCGCTGTCATAACGCAATAGTGAAGTTATGGTGAGTTGCAGGGTTCAAATGGGCACTTTTTCGCTTTCGGGCCAATTTAGATCCCAGATATTCAGAGATGGGGAAACAGTCGTTTTGCATGGCGGTCTCCAGCGCCATCCTGATAACCTGTCCCAACGCGTAACGCACGCGGCAAATCTCCCTCCCCCTGTTTTTGCTTAGGCGAAAGCCGCCTAAGGGTGTCTCGCGCGCGGCAGTGGTCCTTTAAGGGAAAGCATTACGGTCGTGGGAAACTTTTATACTACACGAATTGCCTTTATCGTGGGGATTGAGCACGATATTCTTGAAACAGCACTTTAGGTAATTTTCTGCCAAGGTTTCAGGCAGGTTCATGATTTTTACCCGCTGCCATGTACCTACCATAACTCTGTGAAAAGATCTCAAAACGCAACGAGAGTGTTTTAGACGTGGTCAAAAAGTCGAATCTCTTTAAACCGAGTTTCAGCTAAAACTGACAAGGGAATGGTCAGAAATCGAAGTGGCCAATCTGCACAAAAGCTGTAAACCGTCAACACCCTCAGGGTACGCTAATAACATATCTACCCTCGAAATCTGCAGAGCGGTCTTGTACGCGAAGTTATGGGCCCTGATTCCACAGGGTCCCGCCGAGCGCATCAAATACTTGGTGCCCAGGTGCTACCTGAAGTGGCGGCATAGCGCAGCGGCAAGTGTGCCGTCTGATACGGTGAAGATCAGGGGTTCCATTCCTTTTGCTTTCTTTTCTTTTGCAACCAATTTTTATCATCTATAATGTTAGTACGAAGTGATATCAAGGTCAGAACAGCTACAAAACCTGTGGAAACTTCAAAAAATTTATGAAAGTCTCATTCTGAAGACACAATAAATCAAAGATCGAGCTAGAACTTCATGAGCAAATGTGAAAGGCTATAACGAAGTGCTGAAAACATAGGAGACGGCAGCAATAAGCACATCTGATAAAATGCTCTTCACTACAATTTTCACACTCGCAAATTCCTACAAGATCACTTGGGAAGCAATATTGAGAAGGAGTTTGAAATGGTTCTGGGTGGGTCTCGAGATAACCGGCAGCATACCAGGAATATTTGAGGAAGTTTTTGAAACGGGGAGCGCAAAATTGTGAATAAACAAGTGATAGCATGCGCAGTATCTCACGATGATCAACCCGAAAGGCAATCTCATGTGTCTGAACGTAGGAAGTGATGCGCTTGTACATGTTTTTGAAAGGGAGAAAGAAGTATACTCCAGAGGCTGGATGGACGATGTGGCTCCGGGAGGTATATTCATTATTTTGATCTCTTTATCACTAGGAAAGGCAGATATCATGGCATGGTGATCCTTGAATGCTGTCCATGAATCGACTATGAGCAGCGTCGAAGAAGGAGCATCTTCGGCCACACAGGATTGCACCCAGTCCAATAAAAGGCTCTTGTTTATGATATGAGTGGTATTACACCGAACCTCCAAATTATGTGTTTGTAGAAATCCTCGGCTCGGGAAGTTTCCATGGGGCTCCTGGCAGAATATTTTTATTTTTTTTACATTTTTGTCACTTTCTCGAAAATTTGAAGCACAGCTCAAAACCGAACCTGAAGTACGACAAATAGTTTTTTCCCGAGATGGCCATCTGCGAAGAGAAGGGGAAGAATAGTAAACGAGTGCTTGGTGGATGATGTTGATTGAACAACCCGCTCAATTTTCTTCAACCCTCTTGGAGCTAATGAACGAGAAGTGTGCAATTCTTTCACGATCCCGCTCTGGTCCGCATTGCAAACCGTTGCTAGAGATCGATTTTCCATTTCTGTATAAAAAAAATTCTTTTCATGAATTTCAGTCATCATTATTCACCTGTTCTCACTTCCGAGACAAAGGCTTGTGCTCGGGTGGTGACTTCCGTGTTGCCAAAATTTTCCTTGATGTAAACGTGGTGATTCTCCTCGACACGATTCCAGAGCTCTTTTTGAATCGTGTGATCCACGATTGGCTGGCTATGAAGTTTTCAATTAGGAATTCTTCCCGATTGAGTTTCAGAGCTAGCTGTCGGATGTTCAAATCGTGCAAGGAGATACCAATGTCAAACTTCGAAAACACTACTTCACGAAGCTTCTCTGCAAGCGACCGCAGTCGTGCTAGTCTGTCCAGACCTGTTTGATAAATCGCAAAAATAAGCCGATTTCAGCATAATCTAAAGAAGGCATACCTTGCTGTTCAGTTTGTCTCAACTTTATTAAATGATAGGGAGAGTTGATGAAGCGAAAACGGACCCTCATGCTCGACAACGTTCGGTGACCTTGACCTGATGAACGGTAGAACCGTATTGCTTTTTGGACCTATACATTTTTTTATTATGAAAATTAAAATGCTGTCTTTTTTCGCACCATTTCCTCCGACACTTCTGTTCCCCCAAACTTGATTGTGCCTGCTCTAGTGAAGTCTTCATCATCCTCAACGGACCAGTGCGGATCTTCAATTTCCTCAACGGCAGCCTCTTCTTCGGTCTCGATTTGGAGACTGTCGTTCAGAACTTCTTTCAGGATAGTTGTAAAACTATCTATGATTTTCTTCTCTTTTCTGCACGGCTCGCGGGCTCCACACAGCATCCAAACTCCTTTACGAGATACGAGAGAACAACCTTCGGTGAGAACATTGCGCAGTATAGCAATCAAGCCAACTTGCATTCGAAATTGTTACCTTATCTCAACCTGCTGTTTTGTAATCCTTTGACCGAATGAGCATCTCTGGCTCCAAAGTGAGAGGCAGATGCTTCGATGCACATTTCTTTCCCTCATACCCTTAAATCTGCTTACTACAACATTTCTATCATTCTTCCTTTTATCTTCGTCATATCAATCATAATATCCAGTCTCAATTTTAAATTATTTGTATTTTTGCGAATGAGCTTTTTTTGAAGTTTCCATAGGTTTTGTAGCTGTTCTGACCTTGATATCACTTCGTACCAACATTATAGATGATAAAAATTGGTTGCAAAAGAAAAGAAAGCAAAAGGAACCTGACCTTCCCGTATCAGACGGCACACTTGCCACTGCGCTATGCCGCCACTTCAGGTAGCACCTGGGCTCCGAGTATTTGATGCGCTCGGCGGGACCCTGGTGGATTCAGGGCCCATAACTTCGCGTACAAGACCGCTCTGCAGATATCTAGGGTAGATATGTTACTAGCGTACCCTGAGGGTGTTGACGGTATACAGCTTGTGCAGATTGGCCACTTCGATTTCTGACCATTCCCTTGTGAGATTTCACCCCTCTGCAATATACCTACCATAACTCATTGAAACTCAAAATGCCGAAGGAGTATGATATTCGTAATCAGCTTGTCAATTAGCCCCCCTCAAAGTTTTAGCGAAATCCATGATTTTAGCTTCTTAGTGTACACAAGTAAACCCAGAAAATGGTGCTATATCGCGCGAAGTGACTACGATATTCATCATCAGCGGCCTTAATAATCCCCATGTACCGACTTTGAGCAAGATCCATCAAAACATTTTGGGGTTGGATAGCCGATTAGCGCCATCAGTTTTCAGAATTATCCTTACTTTTACCGATTTTATTGCTTTTTTTTTGCAAAGTTTGAGCTACGGGGCTGGGGGTTGTTGAGGGAGGTAGGTGGGCATGCTAATCACTAACACAGCGGGAATAGGGAACTGCATGCAGAAGTGGGCACAATGAAAAGTTTTACAGGGATAGGGATAAGACCTTAATCATAGCATTGACAGGGCCGGGCGGAGCCGGATAAGCCAGCTAGTGATGATTGTTATTCCTCAGAATCGTCCAGGAGTTGTTCGGATTACCTTCCGATTCTGGTAAGGAATTCTTACTCTCTTATGCGGGCGTCATTCTTAAGTTTTTATTATTTGATGTGTACTTCAGATTTTATCACGGCCCTCCTTCTCCTGTTTATTGGTTTCAAATTTTATCACGCCCCTCCTTCTTCTGTCGATTGATATGGTGAGATCTTTGTATCAGCGTTCGATGTTGCGGTACGTAATCTTCACCTGGGATAACCTTGCCGTCCTTACATACCTGAGATCTTTGTAGCGCACATCCCAGAAGTCTATCTGCGACTTGCGAACCCATTGACATGCTTAACGAAATGTGGTCTTCTTGATGAAGTATATTTTTGGCAAGGCCAATTCCTGAGCTGTAACGAATTCTAGAATACGCTCCTTCCGTCGTTTCGCGTGCCGCATCGTGTTTGACATTTCTGTAGACAATTTCGGTGTTCTCTTACATGTCCATTGGAATCTGCACCAATTAGTAGCATCTCTTTTTGTGCAATAGAGCTGACATAGTCATGAGCTGTCCCTAGAGTTGCTCCTTCTCAGCTTTTTCGCAACCTGCTTGCTTATTTGAAGTGCTCTTGTACCAGTATATCCGATCTTATGCTCATAAGACGGCCGCTCATTCGATGTACATCAGTGACTCTATCCCTCAATATTCATACAATTATGCCGACACCGTTTCTCCTGTTGTTTGTTCCTCTATAGAGAAGCTTGTAGTCGTCTTTAATCTCGCATGCACTTTCACCTTTTCATACAGTTTTTCTCAATACTAGCAGCGTCAACTTTACGTCCTCTGAAAAGATCCGCCAGTTCGATGGCGAGTTAGTGATTTTACATTGATGTTAGCTAGACGCAATGCTGGAAACTTGTGACTCTTTCTATGGTGAGCTAGCTTTTTTAGCCGTCCTCGCTCACGTTGATAAAATGGTAACCCTCGCCTACTGTCTACATTCGTCGGGCTCAAATGCGCGTCGCCTCCACGCCGGGAGCGTCCTAGCCTTTACACGAGAATCTGGTTGAGACAAAAAAGAGCTTTTAGAAGCGACGCGTTGTCTTTTTTCAAAGACAACGTCGCAACGTTAGTAAACGAGCCGTTTTGAGCGTTTATTGGAGCAAAAATCAAAAGTGCCTTTAGGATAAGATGATTTGCTAGAACCCTACTAGTCCTCAAATAACACAAGTATAATATAATTTTTATCTCGAAGTATCTATTGATTAAAGCACCCTGATATATTACTGCTCCATCAAAGAGCTAGCAAAAATATTGCTACCGTTTTTATGCTACTTGCACATTCATTATAGCTCCTATGCGCTCAGAACTCCTCGCCCTAAAGTGAAAGTTCCGCAGATTAGGAAGGCAGATCTGAAATCGAAGTTTTATGCCCTCCATTGAAGTACACATCCCATCTAAAAAGGCCACTTCGACTAAAAGTGCTCGTGAGGAGTGGGAAGAATTGCCATTGACATAGACTTTCCTATTCTACCATCTGAGCAGTGCGCGCAGAAAGCAAGCGTTTGTATACGGAAACTTTGCTTTACAAGATTGTTGAGTAGATCTTTTTAGTTTTGCCTTTAAGCTTTTTTTCTACACGTTATATGGTGCATTCTCGTGTTCCCATATGAACCATAAACGTAGCAGCTGTTTTTCGATCACTTCAACATGCCAACTTCAAAAAAGCACATTGAATTTGCTGGAGTTAATGTATTATAAAGACTGAAAGGCAGCCACGTTGATGGTTAATATAGGAATAATTCTGAGAAATGCACGACATGTTGATGCTAGAACTGTTGAGCCTGGTCATCTTTTCGAGTTTGAAGAATAATGCGCACATGTAGGCTAATGATTAACTTGCTGGCCCTATTGGGCAGAGAAGGTTTCATTCCAGCAAGTTGCAATGATTTTATGGTCGACTTTTTGCATTGCTGCCATAAAACCGAACGAACTTCACGTTCAGAATACAAGTTTGTCGTGGAATTCGCGAGCTCGCCGTCATGTCTTGTGCCAATATGCCGGGTGGAATATTACCATCCCTAACTTTAAAAAAACAACGGAAACTTTCCGAACAACCTGCACCCGAATCCCCAACGTCTTATCACAATCTATAAAACCTACTTCGTCGTCGGCTTCTATAAGATTGAGACCGCCAATCCTCCTTGAATCATCCAGCCATGCATAACCATCATGGCGCATCTTTATGTATATAATGCGAATGCCAGTTTTTCTGGCCTGAAATTAAATTCCATATGAGATATGGAGAATTCCCCAAGATGCCCGTTTTTTTTGCAGAATAGAGCATTCAATATCAGATGAAAAGCGTTAGGCGTACATTCAAGTTATTTTATCTTTCGAAAAAGATTGGCTATCAAATAGCTATTAATCAACGTTTGAGCTTTTTCCGATCTGCTGTTTGGGGCTCATTTTCAATATTTGATTGATGCTTACAGAAAATAGCCGGTATTTCAGAGATCATAATTGTCATTGAACATCACCTGTGCACTATAGGGCTAAACTCGCTCGTAATATTGGTTTCGTGCCCGGTTATTTATCGTAGGAGTGCCTCGCAATTGTGGAAGATTTCTTTCATACGTAATGTATGCTTCCATCATTGCTGCATTCCAAAATCACAAATTATCAATACTCACAAAACTTCGGAATTCATCTTTCAGATCGGGGACGAGTGGCGTAGTGGTATGAGGCGCCGCTATGACTAGATCGGACACAGGTTCGATCCCCGCCCCTGGGCCAACCAGCCCTCTAACCTCCGAGGCCGTTAAATTGATACCAGAGCAATCTGGGAGGATAAAAGCACTGACTTGGAAACGGCTGGCTCCCGCAAGTCACTGTATTAGGCTCGCACGCATACAGTTGCCTCTTCGACTATAAAGTAGTGTGCGTTCGGCGCATGCCCGCAGAGGGAACTGAAGACGCCAAATCCTTTATCCTTTATCCTTTACTTTCAGATCATTCACTGCGTTGAAACTGAGTGAAATTCATTTTATAGATTGAGAAAAACTTTCGATTCGTATTAACTAAATCTATATATAAAACTCAAAATTGTAGGTTTGGAGGCTATGTGCGTAAAACGCGCGCCGCTCAACCGATTCAGCTGAAATTTTGTACACATGTATTCCCCTGCGCAAATGATAGGCTACTTTCTGCAATGATTCGTTGGGTCCTTCTATCGATTTATTGATTTGTTTACGTCATTCTAAAGAACTGAAAGCTTATCATGTTCAATAAAGCATTTTCCCATAGTCATATAAAGGAGGACGGTGAAGCTCATTTTCACCTCAGGATCACGAGGAAGCGAATGTCCCGGGTAAGTCATCCATAACTAATGAGAGGGGGGGGGGGTAGTTGCAGTGCAGGTGACCAATGGCCCGAGGCTGGACCGGGAAAGCCAACTAGTGTTATATATAAGGCAGTGGTAAACCCTTTTTTGAGCGCAATCGGCTGAAGGAGAACTTACGTTGACCTAGAACGCCTCATTCCGGCATCCAGTGAGCAATTGGCTTGAATGCGAACCGCTCAGACATAAAAATTATGAAAGTTCTCAGAAAGAAAACACGTACTATGCTCGAGCAGATTCGATCAAAAGGGTAGGTGGATGTGAATCAACTTGCACGACTATGATTTTAAGCCGGCCGGCTGAAGGCGAAAGTTTTTGCTGCACCGGCGAGCAATCTTTGGTAGCGGTCAATGTCGAAAAAATCGAGAATGACCGATGTCAAACAATTCACTAGCAAGCAAACAAGTATGAGCTGCAACAATTATTCAGCAAAAGTTCCATCAGAAATAAAAAAGTTGGAATACAAATCGAATGAAATAAATGAAGTAATTTTTGCTTAAAACAGCTTTTTAAAAATCTAACAAGGGAATGGCCAGAGAAGTGGCCAATTCAAAAAGCTGCATATCATTAGATGCAGCATAAAACGCCGACTCCAAATCTGTCTTCCTTATCTGCAGACCACTTTTGTGGGTGGAATTATAAGCCATTAAAAGCCATTATTTTGCAAAGAATTTGTGTGTAAAGGCAAACTTGGCCATACAGAGCCATTCCTGGCTCAGTACTGAACCAAAACATGCAGCTAGGTCACTCCATATGGCCAGTACCTAAAGGTGAGCGAAAAGGGCAATAATGTGCCTAATTTCGCACTTTTCGTGTACGATTTTTTCGTATAAAAGCTGGTCATAACTTCACTTACAAAGGCGCTCTGCGGATAAAGAAAACAGATTTGAAATCAGCTTCTTAGTTGCATCGAATGGATGCAGCTTGTTTGGATTGGCCACTTAAAGTTCTGACCATTCCTTTGTAAGTAAACTCTGCAAAAAAGGAAAAGCTCTTTTCTTAATTTTCTCGCAGCTATTCATTGATCCTCTCCTCTTTGGGCCCCGGTAAGTGCAGTTTTGCGCGTTCTTGTAACGCAACAACTTGTCAACTTGATTGTCCCATAGTTACTCGCGAGCACTTACGGGATATTTGCTTGATCTCCCTCTTTCGCACACTACCTCCGTCGCTCACCCCAAAATCTAAACTCGGCTAAGAGGCGTTCTGTAAACCTGACCGTGACACTTGACCAGACAATCTTCTGACTGTTCAACTGACTATCTAAAAGCACGGAAAAGAATCGGCAGTATTGGGTACAACTTAGTTCCTCTGAATGGTTCATCTTAGGTCAAACGAATGAGGGGTTCACTACGGGCCATAACAAATGTCATTTTGCACTACTTTGGAGTTTTCGTTTGGAAATTAACTTTAAAAAACCGAAATCAACTGAAATTAAATAAGAGCCGTTGTCCCTGCAGAAAATATCATATCACAGAAATTCTTCTTATGTCAAAAGGGTAGCTTTTTGAATAATACAACAGATTTCATCGTACATTCTAATAACTTCAACAAATTCGAAGGTTAAGCATAGTTTCAGAATAAAGAATAATTACTTTCGATGATAATCTGAAGGTTCAGAAAGCAATCGCCATTCCATACCGGCTTCATATAAAAATCGTGATTACTTAGGAAAGCCATACTGCACTTATAAACCTTCGCGATACTCCGCTCTAACAAAATGCCCTTGCGTCGTCTTTGATACCTTTGTTCCTTGATAGGACCCGTCATACAACATTGCTTGTGATTTTGTCTAGAGTTCACTCAGACGATCGTTTCTGAAGTAGTGCACGTTTTTAAACTTAAGACCTGGAGGTGCTTTTCCGGACCCATATTTTCAGAAGGCTCTCATATAACACGTTCTTTAGCGTAAGAATAACTTTTTGTAGATTCTACGAGAACTTCCTCCTTGCCACGTGTCACAAAATTGACACGTTTAAGATCATTTTGACATGTTTTTTTGATATCATTCCCGGTGAGGTAAAAGAGAATTTGTTTACCTTAAAGCTGTTTGACTGTTTTACAGAGCAAAACAATCATGAACTAATTTGAAACGTCTTGCTTGCTTTCAACATTGATTCAAAAATGTCTTTCTCTTCAAGCCCTTTTCGCCATGCGAGTTTAGTCAGAAAAGACTAGATATGACTATATATAATAGCCTAAAGTACATCGCCGCTGCTGCTTTTACTTATCACCCTATGCAGTACTTCTTTCTCCTTCTCTTTCTCGGCTTGGTTTAGATGTTGCTCAGGTTTTTCCTTGCAAATCGCTGCATTTTTTTAGTTCATGCAGCTAGTTGAATAGCATATATCAAAACAACGAACGCCATAACATATATTAAAACTATGAACGCCTAGTCAATTTACACTGTAAAATCAGTTTGGAGTTCAATCAGATTACGGATCCGCTGAAGTTTCATAACGTTTGAGCGCTTGCTAGCGCGAGCTTTTGATGAAAGTAAATACTCTTGAAGATTAATCTCCAGATGATTTCAAAAGCCAACTGAAGGATCACAAAAAGTTGAACATTGCAAAAGATTTGCTCTGTTTGCTGGTTGTTAATAACCATATGACAATTTCTATCAAAATTTTTAATATTTAAATGATTACAATGCGTTAGAATAGAGCACTCATTATAGAATCGTTTAGAGAATACAGCTGCTGAAAAGGAGCGGATAAGTCAATAAACGGTACAACTTGTACAACAACCTAATATAAATCGTTGGCATTAGCAAAAAATTTCAGTCATTAAAAAATTTGGACTTATTCTTTTTCGTCGCTTGAGCTCTCCTTGTTAGAAAAAAAAACCGTGCACCTTGCATCGGCATTTTGATAGTTTTTTTGGAGAGATAAAGTTGTACAAATCACTCGAACACTAACTTTTTCCCACTGAAAAAGTTTACCCTAATTCTGTATCTTTACAGATGTTTATGATAAGTAACAAAAAAGGTTATTCTTTTGGCTTTCTTTTTCAAAATATAAACTTTCATAGAGCAAACAAACTCTACATTTCCTTTCCTTCAAAATAAGACTTATAAAACTTGATACTTTCGACTTTCTAATGCTTCCTGATTTGTGTTAACTTAACTCGAAAAGACCAAACAATCTATCTAATACTTGATCTCGTTGAGCAAAAAGATTGTCGCTTCATTCATAAAATCCTATAAATTCTCGTCATCTTCATGGAATTGCTTGACATAAATGCCATAGAGTTTCAGCCGTTGAAAATTTGGACGTACTATTATTTGCTGTGTCGGCAATTCATGTACCTTGCTACATTTTGATTCAACGAAATTGACAACTGGAAGCGGCTGCTGACCCGCGACGCGATCTGTGCCTCTGTCGCCAACGTGTTCTTTGATCATTCTTTAACCTTAATTAGGACAGAAGCCCCGACTTGCCGCCAACCCAATTGAGTTAAAGGGTACATTGGCAAGGCCACGCGTTAGGAGTCACGTTTCGCGAAGCGGTGCCGGCACCAGACGTCAATGATTTCGAGAACAAGTTTCCGTCAGTATCCCTGTCGCGATGTTACTTATGGCATCTAGTCATGTATGTAACTGCTACCATTCCCCCTCACCCCTCTACCCTAACGCCATGTCACTTTAGCCTCGGAGATCATTCATGGCTCAAAGAATTCAGGTGCGGCGTGAGCGGCAAATCGGCCGCCTGCGCAGTGTAACCCCTGACCCGCAATCCATTGGGCACCCTACTACAAACTAGTTTGATGACAATGAAGGAAGAAGTACATCACTACCATCATTTTAAATGGCAAAAAATTTGCATGTTTACAACAAAATCCATACACGAACTATCTTGGCCGACGCAACGGCGCCCAGTTT